ACGAGGCAAACAGAAAAATGCCGATAACTTTTGAAGGAAGAACCATGGAAAGAAATCTCTTTAGGCTTTTTAATATTTCAATATACTCGATCGAATGAGATATAAATGAGTCAAAACTGGAGTTACCACCTTGTACTAAAACTTTTTCTTCGGAGTATCAACTGACTTACCATGAAGATGATTGTGATATTTTCTACAAAATACAATCTTAAAAGAAACGAATGAAGAGAAAGATCCTATCCATTCAGATCTTTTTTGTTCGATAGATTCTCTCAGAAATTGATAAATAATTGAGTTCTAGAAGTCTCATTTTTACCTTGTTGATCATACATAGTCAATTATTGTCTTGTCATCTAGTTTATTACAGCAGTCATATTTAATTTTGGATTTTTACATTATTGTTTAATTCGATTGTCGAACATTGGAATTTGTTGTCTAGACTATCTACTAAACATATGATCAGAAAACATAATACTGATTATTTTTTTGCTTACTCTACAAATTGTTTTCTATTGAATAAGACAAAAGTTTCAATAGAAACAAAAAATGAAAGTGAAATTAATTTCTCTTGTCTTTTTTGATTCTAGTGGTGATGAATTTTTTACGACTATAACTCGTAGTTTCGGCAACGATTTTCCATTGATCATTGAAGATAAAGGTGCTTTGAGGGTGTGGTGTGGGTATTAATTGACAGAAGATCGACACCCACACCCCACACTCACATCCAATCTAAACGAGATGTTGCTGAATTAATGGGAGACCCATTCTTTATGAGACATCCGTTATGGTCTGAGGTGTGGGCGTCGGTAGGATTTGGGTGGAATGTTGCTGTGGATACGGAGGATGAAAGTGTGAGTAGGTGCGAGATGTCCATGTAGGTCAAGATTAGGAAGTAGAAAAGTAAAAAAATTGTCGGTTGATAATGCTCATATTTAGGTCAGTAATTGAGTGACAGCACCAGCCTCTTTGTTCAGTCATGATTTCCATAGGATAGAACCAAGTTAAATCAATCATCTTTGCACATTCTCTGTTCAACAAACAATAATAAGACGAAGAAAAAGGGAACTGACTATTGATAGAGACCAGCTTCTGGTAGAATAAACGAAATAGCTTTGAATTCCATCGTTAGATCGAAGATTCTTTCCAATAACAATTGATATTCGATTTCGACATAAGTTTGTTCTTTTCTTCGTAATAAAGATATGTGATTTTCGATTAGATTCATGAACAAACTTGATTGACAAGATCTTTCGGCTCGAAATACTGAACACTTGATTAATTATGTCCTAAAGCTGATAGATTTTCTTCTCTATCCATCGTCAATCGAATAATCATTCTCTTCTATACACTTCAAAATGGAATAGTCAATTCATTTCTCATGGTTTTGACTTGTCATTTGACGAAGACTTCAATCAATCGAACTGGAATATTCAATAATTTGGATATTTGAATGAAAATCTAGTGAAAAGTGCTTCAATTGAATTTATATGATCTTTTCATGGAAGATTTTTTCGAATCGCTTGCTCGTTTGTAAAAATCTTTTCTTGTGATCATTCGAATAAATGAGAACAATCTCAAATTATGCAAAACATCATTCAAAGAAAATCGATTTGTCGATAAAATTGACTCAATCCATTATATATCATTATCAATTAATCCATTATTATATTCGCATCCATGGTCATAATAGGTATCTACAGCGCTGCAATGATCCTGAATGGATTGGATGATCTCTACCATGATTAATGTGGCTGCAAAACAATGACTATGATCAAGATTTTCAGCTAAAATTCGAGCGTAATTCAACATATATTGAAAATCAAGCGATTTCTATTCATAATATCTAATCACACTTCAATGCCTTATTTAGTATTATGTTCCACTTAGTCTATCAAAAACAACTATTTTAACAATTGCTTTGTGACAAAGTACATGTTCAAGTCCAAATTACAGAACAACTCATTGATACATAATTCGAATAATTTCTTGATGAACGATTATAATCACTGAAACGTCAAGAGAGACAAAATTATTTTCACATATGTTCTAATAAAAGTAATAATGCACGATTCTTAACAGGAAAAAAACTTTAAGAAACTATTATTATGAATTTTCAAAAAATTGATTGTCTCGAATTTACTACTGTAATACACAAGAATAGATTTTATGATTTCATTATACCAAGAAGAATAAAATAGAAGAGTTTTTAGTATGGAAAACCAATTATGAAGATATTTATTTAATCTATTTAAAGTATTTTGTTTTTATTCATTTCGTGAAATATGATAGAAAATGAGTATTGAAATTATAGAGCGAGACTACGACTTCTGGATTTGTAGATCAAAAATTCAAAAAAATCCTATTTTTCTTTGATAATGTAGTATAGTAGTCGTCATATTCATATGAAAGAGAATCATCATGTTTCACATTTTAATAATGTAGGGATTATTCTGAAAGCTGCTTCTTTTAATTACAGACTAACTGTATAGAGAGTATGTGTTGGAAGTGTAGAACTCTTCGCTATCAATAAAAAATAAATCAAGAAATGTACTTTTCGAAAAAGTGTGTTCACATTGTTGTTGATAAGCAATCTTTGTCTAGTTCACATTGCTCTCTTCAAATGTTCAAATATTGCTGATGTTATTCACTACTAAGACGATGATCTTCAGATCTAGGGTATGTGATTCTCATTTTGTTGATTGACTTTAACAGTCACAATGAATATGACAAGCAACGGAAATAATAGAAGAGATTCCATAAATTACTGAGCATCTACCATAGTGCAGTGATAGAACTCACGTCATCTTTAATAATATCTAGCATCCACCATGACTACATAGTTAGTCATTATGCCATACTCCTACTCAGACAGAATTGTGTGCATCAAAACTTCTCAGAATATTAGAAGCACGAGTGCTAATCTTATATTTGACGTTATCGCAGCCACATTCCTATAGGCATAATTATCTCTACTTGAATCAATATCGTTTTTTTT